ATATTAATATCGATTTATTTTTTTCAAATTTTTATGTTATTTTTAAATTTATATTTCATTCAAAAATAAAATTATTATGGCTTTCTCAAAAATCGTATTTTATCGATAGAGACAAAAAAATAAAAACTAAAAATTAAAATCAAGATTTATCTCGCTTCATTGCGCAAGTACCCTTCTAGTAATTAACTAATGAATACAATCAAATTTAGAATAAACACATTAATAAAAATGTATTACTTTTTATTTTTGAATCTATAATATCCGAAATATATAGATACATATATTATAGGTATTGTACGCATTATATATATATATATATATATTAGTTATGTACCTGCGCAATACGGTGTAATGTAAAAGGTTCATTAAGATTTTTTTTAATTTCAAAATATCAAATTCTTTCAAAATGTAATAAACCCTTCAAATACACAACATAAATGTATATTAGCACAAAATTTTCCTCAAAATCAATATTCACAACTTAATGTCATGCATTATTGATAGATGTAGAATACACTTCAAGAGTTGTTGCATATACGTCTTTGACAGGCTCTTCAAGTGAATTCATGTAATACCCCTCTTTGGTAATTCCAACCAGTGGAGAGCTAAGAAGATTTAGGGGAAATAATTTACGATATGCTCTTTTGAGAAATAAATATACCTGAGGAGACTTCATATCCATCGGTCCTTGATACCCGAAAGGTTAGAACACAAGTGACGACGTCCATGAATATCTGGCAATAAAACTTGGTCACCATATCTGGCAATAAAACTTTCCACTCTAAAGAACTCAGTCACTGCATGGATCTCTCTAGACGTTCTTAACCCTAAAAATGAACCATTCCCAAGTGATTGGAAGCCAAGTTGTTTTTCAATCCATTGAAGTGCCCAAAAAGGAAATATTAGCTGACCAAATGTAATCCTAGTAAGGATCAAGAGCCTCACTTACTCGGCTGGCGTTTACCTAAACCAACCATGATTTTCGAAGCAACATATTAGGAGTCTCACTTACCCAGTATTTGTTTATCCATTTTGTACCAATAAACGACCACTTTATTTTCAACACAATATATATGATCCACAACCAAAGTAGCATAAAATGGGATTAATCTGCAAAAAAAAAAAAATTGCAAACAAAGTCAAGGATGAATATAAAAACACACATAAAGTCCAAGTAGACGACAAAAACATATTTCACGAGAATTTTGCGTCATTAGAACTTCGAAGAGCGTCATGACGACCACCTTTTGAGGCTACAGGATGCATGAAAGATGATGATGTGGATCCAAATCTAGGTTGAGAGTGGAGTCTTTGGGTGGTTGATATGCGACCACTGCCTTAGCAAACCACATGGTTCGACCATCACTTGGTTTACCAGATGAGCTTGGCCGACTGCTTGACACAACTGATCATTTTGAAGTACTACCATTCCATGAAATGCGACATTTGTCACCATCACCATGTTGAATATGCAAATATAAACAAATCTGAGTATAAGATCCAAAAAATTACAACAAAAACTTCTTTTATTTATTTACTTTTCGTGGGAGGACGGTGCTATCCAATATGTTGGGAAACTCAACGACTTAATCGAAACATTTTCTATGATTCATCACCTCCTTGGACGATGTTATATTCATTGAAGATATATGCATAGGATGATTGTAACACTCT